GTTTACATATTTTATGAATATAATTTGCATAAACTGCTTAAAGCTGTCTGAGCAGTAACTATTGCCTCAGATTTACTGCTGAGGGAGCCAATCAGAATGCTCAAAGGTCATTTTTATTACTGAAATTATGCTAATGAATATTCGTTGAAGGGTATATTGAAGATGGAAATTATTATCGACTCGATAATGTCCATCTACAATACCCTAAAATTCAAACGAAAACAAAATATATTTTCTGCGTTTGCGGTTTGAATTAAAGACATTAAATTTATCTGCAAGTTGTAGTTGAAAGGGCAGCTGTAATTGATCATCTAATGACAATCACGATTCACCTCAGTACTCCGAAATTGTAGATTACTGTATGCACTATCACACATTTCTCACTTTTTGAATAGTTATTTTCTTTATTTCTTGATTTGGAAAATATTAGATATTAAATAAATACACGAAAATACACGTCAAGCACTTGGCCATGAATTACCTTAGTTAATAGCATTGCGCGCAACATGAAAATAGCCTGAAGAGTGTGTTCGGTTTTGCTGTGCTGTTGGATTTTTGAATCAGTTGGATTTTGTTGGGTCTGTTGGCTTTTTTTTAATCTGTTGGGTCTTGTTGTGTCTGTTGTGCGTTGGGTTTTTTTTAATCTGTTGGGTTTTGTTGGGTCTGTTGGCTTTTTTTTAATCTGTTGGGTCTTGTTGGGTCTGTTGTGCGTTGTTTTTTTTTTATTAATCTGTTGGGTTTTGTTGGGTCTGTTGGGCTTTTTAATCTGTTGGTTTTTTTAATCTGTTGGGTTTTGTTGGGTCTGTTGTGCTGTTGGGTTTTTTAATCTGTTGGGTTTTGTTGCGTTTTTTTAATCTGTTGGGTCTGTTGGCTTTTTTTAATCTTTAATCTGTTGGCTTTTTTAATCTGTTGGGTTTTGTTGGGTCTGTTGTGCTGTTGGGTTTTGTTGGGTCTGTTGGGCTTTCTTAATCTGTTGGGTCTTTTTTAATCTGTTGGGTTTTGTTGGGTTTTTTTTTTAATCTGTTGGGTTTTGTTGTGTCTGTTGGGCTTTTTTAATCTGTTGGGTTTTGTTGGGTCTGTTGTGCTGTTGGGTTTTGTTGGGTCTGTTGGGTTTGTTGGGTCTGTTGTGCCTGTTGGGTCTGTTGTGCCTGTTGGGTCTGTTGTGCCTGTTGGGTTTGTTGTGCCTGTTAGGTCTGTTGGGTCTGTTGTGCTGTTGGGTTTTGTTGGGTTTGTTGGGTCTGTTGTGCCTGTTGGGTTTGTTTTGCCTGTTGGGTCTGTTGTGCCTGTTGGGTCCGTTGGGTTTGCTGGGTCTGTTGTGCCTGTTGGGTCCGTTGGGTTTGTTGGGGTTTTTTTAATCTGTTGGGTTTTGTTGGGTCTGTTGGGCTTTTTAATCTGTTGGGGTTTTTTAATCTGCTGGGTTTTGTTGGGTCTGTTGTGCTGTTGGGTTTTTTAATCTGTTGGGTTTTGTTGCGTTTTTTTAATCTGTTGGGTCTGTTGGCTTTTTTTAATCTTTAATCTGTTGGCTTTTTTAATCTGTTGGGTTTTGTTGGGTCTGTTGTGCTGTTGGGTTTTGTTGGGTCTGTTGGGTTTTGTTGGGTCTGTTGGCTTTTTTCAATCTGTTGGGTTTTGTTGGGTCTGTTGTGCTGTTGGGTTTTGTTGGGTCTGTTATGCTGTTGGGTTTTGTTGGGTTTGTTGGGTCTGTTGTGCCTGTTGGGTCTGTTGTGCCTGTTGGGTCTGTTGTGCCGGTTGGGTTTGTTGTGCCTGTTAGGTCTGTTGTGCTGTTGGGTTTTGTTGGGTCTGTTGGGTTTGTTGGGTCTGTTGTGCCTGTTGGGTCTGTTGTGCCTGTTGGGTCTGTTGTGCCTGTTGGGTTTGTTGTGCCTGTTAGGTCTGTTGGGTCTGTTGTGCTGTTGGGTTTTGTTGGGTTTGTTGGGTCTGTTGTGCCTGTTGGGTTTGTTTTGCCTGTTGGGTCTGTTGTGCCTGTTGGGTCCGTTGGGTTTGCTGGGTCTGTTGTGCCTGTTGGGTCCGTTGGGTTTGTTGGGTCTGTTGAGTCTGTTGTGCCTGTTGAGTCTGTTGTGCCTGTGGGGTTTTGTTGGGTCTGTTGGGTTTGTTGGGTCTGTTAGGTCTGTTGTGCCTGTTGGGTCTGTTGTGCCTGTTGGGTTTGTTGTGCCTGTTAGGTCTGTTGGGTCTGTTGTGCTGTTGGTTTGTTGGGTCTGTTGGGTTTGTTGGGTTTGTTGGGTCTATTGTGCCTGTTGGGTCTGTTGTGCCTGTTGGGTCTGTTGGGTTTGTTGGGTCTGTTGTGCCTGTTGGGTTTGTTGTGCCTGTTGGGTCTGTTGTGCTGTTGGGTTTTGTTGGGTCTGTTGTGCCTGTTGGGTCTGTTGTGCCTGTTGGGTTTGTTTTGCCTGTTAGGTCTGTTGTGCTGTTGGGTTTTATTGGGTCCGTTGGGCCTGTTGTGCCTGTTGGGTCCGTTGGGTTTGTTGGGTCTGTTGTGCCTGTTGGGTCTGTTGTGCCTGTTGAGTCTGTTGCGTTTTGTTGGGTCTGTTGGGTTTTGTTGGGTCTGTTGTGCCTGTTGGGTCTGTTGTGCCTGTTGGGTCTGTTGTGCCTGTTGGGTCTGTTGTGCCTGTTGGGTTTGTTGGGTCTGTTGTGCCTGTTGGGTTTGTTGGGTCTATTGTGCCTGTTGGGTCTGTTGTGCCTGTTGGGTCTGTTGTGCCTGTTGGGTCTGTTGTGCCTGTTGGGTTTGTTGGGTTTGTTGTGCCTGTTGGGTCTGTTGGGTTTATTCCAGTATTAACCCCCCCCCCTCTCATCCTGTGAGCAAGTTGGACCCCCTTCCTTGACTTTTCTTTGAGGGTGTTACACCCCCCAGTTGTTCCGGTCCTTGACAACCTAACATGAAGTATTAAGTTTTAGGCAATATGCATTGTCATGAGATTCTGGAATAACTAATTAAGCGTTGGGGTTTGTTGGGCCAACTGAAAACCCAACGCAAATACGCTCTTCCTAAATCGCGACAGGTATAAAAAGCTGTAGGTATCGCACCACTTGAATTTGCTTTAGTATACAGTATGCTAGAATCTCATGCAAAATAACGAGACACTCCATTCTCCCGCACCCTTCTCAATGTTGGTTAGTGATTGTTAGCACCGTTTCAGGCCTTCCTTGTCAATTTCGACTTCAAATCGCAACATTGGATGGGGAAAAGGGGGATAAGCCTTACAAAATCATGATGGCACGTTTTATTTTGCGAGAGATTGTATTTCAACAATAAATCCGCACATACTATGTCAAGTACTGTAGGTGTGGAAAGTTATGACGCTGGACACGTTTTATCTAGAACGCTTGTGAATGACATCATTTGCGTACATCAACACGTTTCGAAGGTTATGTAATGAACCAAAAAAAAGGAATAAAATAATATATAAGCATGAACATTATTACTAGGACTTGAACAATCGTACTTTAAAAGATAAATATTAAAGGAATAATTCAGTATGGCTATTATCCACAAGACAAAAGCTCTGGTGTACTATTTATCGAGGTTTCAAGGGCTTTCCATTCGGGAAGTAGCGAGAGAATGTAATGTTTCTCGGGCAACTGTGTGGAGGATTAGGAAAATGGATATGAGCAGTAACGGATGTAAGAAAACGCGCAGAGAGACTAGAGGTAGACCCAGAAAACTAAATAAACGCCAGGAACGAAAACTACGACGATCGATCCAGATCCTAAGAGAGCGGGAGGGTAATTTCACGATCAAGAGACTGATGGAGAACGCGTGCATTTGTAGAAAAGACGTTTCAGAGAGTACAATTTCACGTTTCCTAAATAAAGAGGGCTATTATTATCTACAAGCTCGGAAGAAAGGTCTGTTAACGAAGGCTGATATGAAAAAGAGGAGAATTTTTGAACGGAGAATGCAAAATGAATATTCTCATGACGTGTGGACTCAAGATATTGCGTTTTACCTCGACGGAACGGGATTTGCGTATAAGAGAAATCCCTAGCTAGGATCAAACCTTGGCACCCAAAGGCAGAGTATGGCGCAAGAGAAGCGAAGGACTAACGCCAGAATGTACTGCGAAAGGACAAAAAACAGGAACTGGTGGTCGAGTGGTAAAGCTGATGGTAGCTATAAGTTACGACAAGGGCGTGGTCATATGCAAAACTTATGACAAGTTAGATGGCCGTTATTTTGCCAATTTTATTGACGAGAACTTTGAAAGCATGTTTGGCACTGCAGATAAAAGCCTAAAGCGATTATGGTTACAAGACGGAGACCCAAGTCAAAACTCAGCAATGGCTCGCTGGACTCCGAGAAGTGGACCCCGAGAAGTCCTGACTTAAACCCTATTGAGAAAATTTTTAAACTAGTTTCAGACGCATTGCGTAAGCAAGCGATAAGGTCGCAAATCACGAAGGAAACATACGAGGAATTTAAAAATAGACTTCTCTTTACAATTCAATCTTTACCCCTAGAAGTAACAAATAACACAATTGCCTCAATGCCAAATCGTGTGAAAGAAATCATTAAAAGGAAAGGACAGCGTTTAAGATATTAGAACTATCAAACTGCCAAGTACCTTCACGTTGTATACGTATATAATTAGCGAGCTTAAGCATCTAGGACGGGAACACGACGGCGACGGCAAACAAATTCGTTGAACCAAATGATTGAAGAAGAAAACCTGTCGTCTATTATCCATCGTATGAAAATAATACTTTTTAAGGATCAAAATTAACACTGGGTTTATGACTGAGAAAAGTTCTAGGACCCAATTTAAAATAACAGTTGTCGTAGCTTGAAATGTAAGCGTTGTATACAAGACGTGATAATCTGTATTTCGCCGTTGCAAAACAGAGCTACGGCGACGTCGGTGAAATTTCAATTAGTAATTTTTGCTCGTTTTCTTGCATTCACATGATATTATTGGCCGTTCTCGTTCAACTTTTGTTCTGCTTTGTTGAAGTTCTCAATAACGGTGGTTCTTTATAATATAAAAATGTAAAATTTAAGGCGGTTTCTTGACACGTCCCCTTACTAGATTAAGCTTTGTTTAAGTTCGCTATTATATCGGCAACGTATATCTTGACAATAAAACACGTACAATATAATATGGACGGATTGTTAATTAAAAAATAATATTCGTCTATATTGATATGGCTGCGCGTATTTGATGAACAAACCAAAGCGGTATAAACACGCCGATTAACTACCAAAATTATACTTAATAACTATTTGTGAAATATTAACGTGCAATGCATTATGTATACCATAGCATCTCTGTGACTGCAGTGTCAGGTATAAAGCATAATTGTTCAGACAGCCCATGCACCCACCCCGAAATGCACGATTCTGAACAATTAACGCATCACCATAACGGGTCACTGTTTAAAACAAGTTCCAAAACAACTCAAGAGAGTACGCTCGCCATGCACACATTAAATACAGAAGATCTGAGGTTTGTGCCGTGGCACGTACCATGTTAAAGTTAGCATTTCCTTTTTTTTTAAGATATATACGAGCTGATTGTGTAACGGTGACCCTTTCAAACCAAAAGAAAATATTACATAATATGTATTCTCTCATATATCTGCGGATCACAGTGGTGATCCGTCGTCACTGTGATCCGTCGTTTGTTCTGCGTATACAACACCTCAAATCGTTTCCAAATTCCAGCATTTGTCGAATAACTTATAATGTTTAAGTGAATTAGTCAACAAACCTTGTAGAAAAGAAACAAAATATGTAATTTTGAGATTTTTAAATGGTGACCCGTCACGTGCACATATGAACACTGATTAGTAGGCTGATTGCATGTACTTGATTAGTATGCTAATTGCATGCAATTTTGCTAAAACGTATGTCCGATAAACATAGACAGTTCAAATATTCAATGAAGAATAAACTCTGCAAAGCAACGCGGACATGACAGGATATTCACTTGTTCATCTTGCGGGATTTGCGAGAAGAACTGAAAACAACGCCATCTGACTCTCATCATCTCCGTTTATGCAGTCTACTGCATCCCCTCGCACAAAACTGAAGTGCTCTTTGGCCGTGGCAAAGATAGGGGCATCTTTTTCAAAGACAAATTGTTGCTGTGCAACGTTTAGGTCTATTCATAATGATTATGAATTTTTGTGTTGTCAATTTCCGATTACTTCAATAATTAACTGCATGCATTTTTCCAGAAATAAACATAAAATACATGGGTGTTATTGTTCAAACATGTGTGCTAATATTTTTGAATGATTCTCAGTAAATTTTACTTCCTTTATTACACTGGCCTGTAGGCCAAGTGTCTTAAATCCCCCTTTTTCTGTTTTTTTTCGTAGTCGAGAAATCGAGTTTGCGTTAGCTCATCGCAGGCTCAGGCTGCAACGATTAAGCCAAAATGCCTTCGATACCTCGGTTCCATAATTTACATACTATAGTAAAAAGTTCGTATTTATGTACGTAATAGCCGGCTCATGCGATGCTTGTGGTACATTTTTTGTTTATTAGCCCATACACTTGTACGCACGCGCACAATTCTGACTCCGACGATAGAGAGCGCCAGTGCTCCAGTGACATATTCAGTTCAGTTTCAAAATGGCGGCTTTTCACTGAGCTATCTAATATATATTTCACACAGTTTCGTTGAATTTTTAAAGAATTGTGCCGATTTTCCTGTGAAAAATACATTGTATCGCACTCTGGACTCTCTGGCGTGTTGAATTTATGTGTTTTTCTTTGTGTACGACTCGAAAACCCCAAAATTTGGACCGAGCGAATTTATACAATATAGTGGAATATAAACAAGGACAAGTTAAAGGTTTGACAGTTTGACTTTTTAATTAACAAGTATAAATATACGTTGTAGACTCATAAACATGTGTTGTGCACCTGTGTTCATTTGCATAATTATAGATTTGCACGTAATTACATTAATTTGCAACAAATTATTTTCCATTTCATATATTAGCCTACTATAGTCTATAAAAATGAATGTATTTTTCGATTGTATTCTGATTCAGCGAGGTGGCGTTGCGTGCGGCGAAGTGAAACGTGGTACGGTTCGATTTGTTTTTGGAACAAGATCCAACTTTCCCCCCAACTTTTTAATTCTCAAATTGATTATTAGATGTTTACTGGTCGGGGTTAGCCCGCGTGCAGGCCCAAGGGAAGAATAGTGGGGTTAGAGAAGGGTTTGGGATCAGTTTATCTTATAACTGGCAGCAAATTGGCGAATGTTTTGGAAGAATCGTCTATGTCTATAAACTTTTTAGCACCTGAAACGAGCCATATAATGGTATTAAAAATCAAGGACAATAGAATTTATTCGCTATTATTGACCCATCATTATTTACGGTTGATAGTTGATGATCATAGTTACAGTGGACCTGGCTTGTCAGGTTGAATTGTCCGTAGCTAGAGCGGCAGAGGGTACGCCTGAGCCGGCGTCTTGGTATATTATGGTTGATAGTTGCTAATCATGATTGTATTTATTGGTTGTATTTATATGGTCCAGACTCCCTGTATCCCTGTTTACTTCTCTACTATACATTACACCCTCCACGAAAGTTGCCATTTTCAGGCCAGTGTGAACGCCTGAGCAGGCGTCTTGTTAGTAATAATCTGCACTCGCATCTTACACAATCAGAGCTGCGCCAAGTGTGCATTCCAAACGTTCCTATTTTAGACAATCTCATGCAAAATAAACGAGACACTCCATTCTCCCGCACCCTTCTCAATGTTGATTAGTGATTGTTAGCACCGTTTCAGGCCTTCCTTGTCAATTTCGACTTCAAATCGCAACATTGGATGGGGGAAAGGGGGATAAGCCTTACAAAATCATGATGGCACGTTTTATTTTTCGAGAGATTGTAGATACGCCGGGTACACGGCTTTCAAACAGGGCTATCACAACCGCGAGTTGATTGTAATATATTCATTATAATATGCTCATTTCTATATTTTGATACATGACAGCACAAGACAAATAATATATATTTACATGCATATATATATATATATATATATATATATATATATATATATATATATATATATATATACATATATATATATATAGCATATATATACAGCATTCAAGCCGATAGTCACGTTAGAGAATGTATTCATATATATATATATATATATATATATATATATATATATATATATATATATATATATATATATATATATATATATATATATATATATATATATATACCGGGTGGCGCAAAAAAAAGTTCACGCGTTTGATTTAGTACAGCGAGAAAACTATAAGTGTTACATCGCTGAAATAAACGTAGCTGTATTCATAAAAGTCTAACTTAAATTTTGAGCTATAGCATGTTTATTTACGTGCAATATTGACTGGGATATCGCCAAATAAAATTTGGAACGAAGTTTTGAAAATCTGACAAATTGTCTAAAAATGGCCTATTAAACTGTTTTGATAAATTTTAGAATTTCGTCAGACATATTCGCTTGTATGAATTTAATTTGAATTGAAACGTGTAACGAATGATTTTCCTTATTTATTTATTTATTTTATTATCATTTGAAAACCAACAAAATTTCGAAAAAGATGGCTCTTTTAATTAAGAATTTCTTCGCAGTATTCCATGTCCCATAGCCATAGGGAATTAAATTAGATCAACAACCGAACAATTTGAGGCTATTGCTGATTGCTATAACTTTGACCAGCAAATAAATTCAACGTTCGTTCGATAGTATGATCACACGTGCAAGAATATAGTTATTTAATTTTCCATGATAAATGCGTTATTTACTGCCGTTGTGTTCTTCATATATCGTTAATTCCTTTACTCGTATTTAATAGGCTATTTTCAGCTAATTTTGGAACCTTTTGAAAATGCATATTCAAATTGATTTACCAATATCTTGGGTAATACTAAACAAAAATGCATGTGTTATACATCAAAATTTAAGTTAGGCCTTCCTGGATAGGATAACATTTATTTGAGGAACGTAACACTTATAGTTTTTTCGCTGTACTAAATCAAACGCGTGAACTTTTTTTTGCGCCACCCGGTATATATATATATAATATATATATATATTATATAATATATATTATATATATATATATTATACATATATATCATATATATATATATATTATATATATATATAATATATATATAATATATATATAATATATATATAATATATATATATAATATATATATAATATATATAATATAATATATTTATATCTTAAAATTAATTATTGCTACTCAAGTTTCACGCCTTATTCAAGACGATCTTTAGGCAATTAATTCAGTTAGTGTTTGATTCGTCAATATCAACGGTCGCTCGCTGACGCGGAGGTTTGTCTATCGTCACCGGTTTGAATTTGCACGCGCTAAATTT